GATTGAAGCAATTACTTGAAAACTAAACCTTTCGGAAAATTAAACTAGACATTTACCATTTATTCGAACCAGTAACAAGTACTTAACACTTTTATCATCTCGACATTTTTATGAGAATTGTTTTCATAATGACTGCCGAGTTTTTATGAACGAATTTTTTGGCGATGGAAAGTCTTCCTATGTCGAGGGTTGATGAAGTTATGATTTCATGTTCCTCCTCTTTGTTGCTCAACTGTTCATTATAATTGACCCCGTAGAGACCGTCTGAATGTGAAGTATTTTCCCTCTAATTGCGCCGTGAATTTTCTGCCCAACGTTGCCAAATCTCAACCATGAACGAATGAAGGGGCTCTTTTCAGGGCATTGTTCCGAATTAATTACACTTTTTTATCGTCGGGTTAATTGTATCGATTTATCTGCTAGAAGAGACAAGTCCAATAAAAATTACCCGAAAAAACACTGTTAGATTTTACAGTTTGCAGAACAATTTCGTTACTTTTCCGTAATCTGTTGGTGACAGATCGGAAAATTTCCCTTCAGATTTAAGAACGTTCCGAATTCTCTTACATTTCTATAAGAATTCACCTAAAACCATTCTCGCTTGCAGATTACTTGAAATGTTCCGCAATTTTTTTTTTAATATTTCTCTCCATATGTTGATTATATTATTTCGGTTATAGCACCAAAAATGAAAAATATGATGGAATTCAATCTATCTGAGGATGAAAAAAATCACTTTGAATTCTGTCGTAATTCGACTGTATATTGCACTCAGAGTTATTGACGTTGAATTCATGACTACCCTCCAGTGATTTTACTTTGATGATTTATTTTCATTCATTCCAGCCGTTCAGAATGCAGTATTTCAGGCTACGGGACAGAATTACTGCGGACATTTCGATAGCGATAGCTTTCTATTGTTTTTGCTTTGAAAACCCGAGCTTCTATTAGTTGGAATTCGGCTGAAAACAATAAGCCGATAAATATTGTTTGTCCAATTGTTGTTAAGCTCGTCTGTATAACATGAAGGTTAACAGAATTTTACTGAATAACTAATTACCATGTGTGATAAAATCGCAGGGAAATATTTGGTCATATTTACGGTTTTATCACTAAAAATAATAGTACAAATAATTGGTCGGTTGACAAGAAAAAGAGAGAAAGACGAAAGTTATGAGTCGTGCTCTTGAATGCGGGTGTTCAATTTCCCATAATTTCATTCCATCAACACTCTCTATCGATTCTAGTTTTTAAGATATTAGCATGGAAAAACAATATCCTCCAATCGGGTTTGCAATATCATGATTGCTGAATATTCTATACCCCATTTGAAGTTTTTTTTCTCGTGCTGCATCTGCAAACAACGACCTCCATTCAATAAAATCTTTTCTTGATATTACATAACTGTTTATATAAGCCCAGAGGAAATTAAATAGTGAAAATTTCCATGTGGAAATTTGCACTCCATAAATATTATTAAGATTATATTAATATATGATAATATAATAATAAATTATTATAATCATCATGATATGCTACATAATACCTAAGGATATTCAAAATGTTTTGCAATTAAAAATTATTGTAATGAACTTTTTTTGACGCAGCTAATTGAAAGGTAAAAAAAAGGTTCTCATAAAAAATTGGAGAGATCGAAAGTATAGCATACGATCCAAAAATTATGATGGATATATTTTTTTGCCGAAATGTATGTGACATATATGAAGATATAATTGACATCATCCTGCATGTATATTTTTTTTATGGGGGTATTATAATTGAATAATTAATATTTATATATGACTATGAATGAGAATTTATATATTTCCAAATATGTTAAAGACCAATATATATTTTTAAGGTTGTTGTATCGCGATAAATAGAATCTTTTTACGGGATATAATCGCACTTGATTTATTGCATTCTGCATCCATAGCTAAAGCATAACTATGTATTTTCCATATTAACTATTTTCAATTATATAAATTTATGGATTTTCGATAATTATATCGCGTAAACCGAATGGTCAATCGATTTGATTTTTTTTCTGAATTCCCTCCCACGATATATATTCCATGTTTATTTTATTTTGAAAACTGTTGAGCCGTTGATATTTTAAAAATTCTAATCGGTCAAACTCTATTTAAACACGTGTTAAATCACTTGAATTTCAAAAATTTATATCTCCAGCTCAAAAAGGTAAATCGTAAACGGAAAGGGCTCATTTTGTAGCTGATTTTTCGAACTATTCACCATAAAATTTTTAACGAAAACTGTCGAACAAAAATTTTACGATACAACAACCTTAAAAAAAATTTTAAAAACATAATATAGAATATAATATAAAATATATATGAACTCATATATGAAAAAATATAACTTCATTTATCGGATATGTTATTAAAAAGTTTCTCATAAAAATTGTGGAGAACGAATATACTTCCGTTGGAATCATCGAACAATCATTTAAAGTAGCTCCACAGTTGCCCCTGAAGTCGTTGAGTGTAAAAAACTTAAACATTCTCCAATCATTTTTTTCTTCATTTCCAAATTATTGATAAGAATTATAGAGATCATCCATAAAAAAATAGTGATATTTCTCATTGTTTATAAATGAAAAAATGAGTGAATAGTGATCAGATTGACTAGCTCACAAATATTTGTGGCAACACTGTACGTTCAAGTAAGAGGTGGGAGGCAAGCGAACTGAACTCCATAACCTCTCCACACGAGAATTGTCAACATGCAAGCGTCAAAATCGTGTCAAAACATGCAAGCGTCAAAACCATCAAACACCCAGACTCTTGATTTGTCACATGACCAATCAATTAGGATTCTCTGAAACGTTGATAAGTTTTCTTTTCACTTATCAATTTTGAGGCGGTTCATTCCGTTCCATTCTAACTTTGCAAAAATATCGTAGGTGTGCAAATTGAGACCTCTGTAAAATGTTGCTTATTTCTATTGAAAAATAAATGAAAAAAAGCAGGTTCTCTCTTTGCCCCAGGGTATCGATCCGCCCCGGGTGCCATTTTCTCCGTTTTCCCCAAAAAAAATCGCACTAGTCAAAATTGGTATTGGATTCGGCTATGAATATCCGAAGTTTGGAACTTTTCGCACAGCAGTAATATTCAATCTCCTCAGGGAGAAAATCGAACTTCAATTTGAAAAATGCAGTCAGTGGTTTTTTACTGCGGACATAGACAAAGTCATGATATTCTTTAATGTTTGATCAATATTTTCTCATGATTCAAGGTCCATGTATATATAATTTGAAAATTTTTGGAATAAAAAGAGGGTTGAAATAAATAATCGGTGAATAATTGGCACTAAATTATCGAGACGGTCAGATGCAAATGCACGGAGAGAAAATCACAGAAAAATTACTGTACTCCATACAGCAAACGAAGCGCTAGAATATTTCGATATTTTCATGAGCATTGATTAATTTCCTAAGCAGAACCGGAAAATTTCTGGGTCAATGCCAGACAGTTTTTGAGAAGAAGTAATGAACGTGTGTTTATAATTTTAGCGGCTCAATAAGAAAGTTTTCCGAATCATCCCACATGGAGAAAGATATAATCCAAGAATTTCCACTGAGATACAGTTTTCTTGCCGGAATTATATCTCAAATATATTCAACTGACGTTTTGAATATATCGTCAATATAAGCGATGAGATATATCTGGACATATATCTGGATAATTGACATATATTTCTGGATATACATTTTTCCATGTGGGATTATAACAAATTGAACTGTCTGGTCTCAGATATTTTCGATATGCGCCGCACAATTTTTTTTTGAGTCGAACTGTTTAAAATATTTTTAAACAAATTTTAAGGAAATATTATGCAAGTTCACAATATTTATTAATTTGCTCGTTATTTGCGCTCCGATTACAGAAGGACACATCATTTTTCTATATTTTTCACAGTAAAAATTGCTGGAATTTCTCTTCGTGGTGAGGGAATTGAAGTACAATGGGAAAAAATGACTTATGTCAATTAAATTTACTTGATACAAGTAAATTCACTTGACAAATGTGATTTTCGGGTGGTGTACACGGAGAGAAAATTTCCGTAAACATTACTTAACCGTTTGGCAATCGTATTGTGTTTAGGCCATCCGGAAATTACCGTACCGCTCAGGAAAATTTACCAACGACACTGATAGAAGGATTAGGTTAACGTTACACAGCCTCGGCAACTATTACCTAATTACGCAGTTAAATAGCACCAACTGAATCGTGCGGTGACAGTTACCCAACGGTTCATTTGAGAGGTTAGGATTGACCCAAATGGCTGATTAGATAATAGTTACCGGATGGCTAGCTGGTAATGAGAACAGCACAAGTACAGTGTCTTTCTCAACTAGATGGCGCGTTGAGTCAACTGCAATTCGGTAAATATTACCAAAGTTGTCTCAAATGGTTCTCGGTTCGTGTCAGAAAAACAGAAAAATTCAATAAAATCAAATACGGCTAAAATCGGCGAACAGTTGAATTCACTGTTATTGTTGTATTTATAACTAAATGCTCGGTTCCAATCAACAAATAAAACAAAAATTCTCAACCGAATACGACAGGTTTCTATAACCAAATACTTCTATTAGTGTGCTTATTAACTGTTATCTACCCCTTTGAGAAAAAATTACCTTCACTTTTAGGTAATTTTTCTCAAACGACTAGATAACTTTGACCAAGCGGTCGACAACTTTTTTATCATTAAATGACTACTAATTATCTAACCACTCGGGAAAAATAACCTCGAAGGTGTCTTTTTCAGACGGATGGATAACGTTTACTAAGCAGTTGACAAATCCTATTATAAAAAGGATAAACATGGAGAGTATCGAGAGTATTGGTTCAGTCATCTGAGGCGGTCAATTTGAATTTAGAACTCATTTAATGTTTAAATTTTCAATCCTGATTTTTATAATTACAGCGGTAATTTTGTCCGAACGATTAAAACACAAGACGGTTATCAGATAAGTAATTTTTACTGACGTTTTTCGCTCCGATAGGTGGAGATAGTGTTTGTAATGGGATCACCTATAGCGGATAGCAATATGTTCGCCGGTTACGCCTATGCTAGACCTGGGTAACTTGCGTCATAGTATGGGTTGTTGCTGTATGACCGTTATTATCCAGATGCTGTGGTACTGGTAGCCACCTCCCCAATAATTTCCATGTGCAGAAAAGCTGGTGGAATATTGTGCGAAATTGTCGACTCATGGCGCAATACAGAATGAAGTTTATCGCTGAATTTATCAGTGCAAGTATGTCCATCATTTCACCTGTAACAAAATGAAACATATATTTGTCAAATAATTAACTACAAGTGATTTAATGGAGATGGATCTCCAGCAATTATATTTTATATGAGTACATGAAGAGTCGGACGCTTGAAAATAATGGGGTAATTGTGAGGTCGTTCTACGCAAAAATATATAATTATGTTAAAGGATCGCTCTTTGAGCTGAAAATATATCTTACGTGTGTTACATATATATCCTGCATGGAAAATACTATACATGCGAAATTACATCGTAATTATCCGGGTAAAAAAAATTGTAATCGGAATATTTTTTCCAAATTTTCAAAAAATTTCTAGAAAACTTTTCAGATTTTTTTTTTTAAACAAAAAAAAAATGGGAAACAAAACAATCGTATTGTTGGGAAATGTTTTGAAAAATTTTTCAAAAATTTGTTTTGGATAATTTTTTTAATAATTTTCTAGAAATTTTTGCGAATATATATTTTTTTTAATCATACTGTTGTTTTCTTATTTTTTAAATTTTTCAATACTCTCAAAAAATACGCCGTCTACATTAAAAAAAAAATCCTATTTAAATTTTTGAAAAATTTTTCAAAACCTTTCCCAAAAATTAAATTGTTCTGTTTTCCGATTTTTTCTGTGTTAAAAAAAAAATTCTGGAAAGTCTTCCAGAGATTTTTTGAAAATTTGCAAAAAATATTGCGATTACATTTGTTTTTATCCGGGTAACAATTTTTCAATCGTAATTTACGGTCATAATCATGATAAATTACAATCTTGTTCCTATTATAAAATCCTACCTATTATAAAAAGGACAAACATGGAGAATATCGATATCTCGAAAGTCTATTACGCCTTTTCCTCATTGGTTAAGTCGTCTGAGGTGACAAATTTGAATTCGCAACGCATTTAATTTTACAATATTAGAATTCTGAATCATGATGTTTATAATAATGGCGCGCGTTCGCTCTTGCTGTAAATTAAGATTACAAATTTTTTAGTCGAAATTTACGACAATCGTAAGCAGAAATGCAATGATGCTTACACGAGGTAATGGCAACAGCGAAAATTGTTAACTATGGAAAATAGAATATAGCTGGAATATAGGCTGAGTATATGTTTTTCACTCCCTTAGTAGCGAGTGTTATCATGTAATGATGATGAAAAGAGCGATTTCGTAATAATCACTATTTCCGTGGAATCATCCAGATGAATTCCTACATTTCAGCGATCAGTATATATTTTTCACATGGTATGTAATCGTAATTTACGTTTATATGTTTCTTTGTGAAAATGCCTAAAAAATTGATGACTCTCGCAATTTCTAAAATCTCAAAGATATCGTAATTGTGCCGTTAAATATAAAAAAATTATATCACGCTGTTCCATGCATTTACTGCATATGATCATAAGGATAGTGCCTTGGTGCATGATATTTCCAATCCGCAATTCTCCCTCATGCGGGAGTGTTTCGATTTAATATCGGAGATGTAGGTATTAATAAAAAAATTGGAGCGTGCAGTGAGACATTCATTTCGAGAGCAGCAGGAACTAGGGCACAGCTGGTAAACCTTAAAAAGACTGGAGGTTGAAATAGCATATTTCCATACAAGTGTGGAAAAGGGGTTTTTTGGCACGTAGTTTTATAGCACGAGCTAAAAGCTGGTAATATAATCCTTCAAGGTAAACAGAACTTTCCACGAGTATCCGAAAAGTAACTTTTCAGGCGCGCTCTGCTATAAAGTCACTTTCCCGCACATTGTGAGGGAAAATATTGGTCACAACTCATGTGTAAAGTGATTCTTGGTAGGTGGGGTTATACCTCCCAGACGCCAAAAATTACTTTTTCACACTTGTTATCAAATATACTATTTCATACAAAATATTTCAAATAAAAATAAGTGATAGATTGTAATATTTAGAAATTGTTAATGCGAAATCTTTATTATTATAACATTAAGGTAAAATAAGTTGCAGATAATCTAAAAATTCTGGGATATTCGACTGATTCCCAATTTTGAAATCCGTATGATAAATATCGAAAATTTAGGCTATAACTTCGCTGAATTGTTAATCTATTAAAAAATCAATTATTATTCAACATAGAAGATTTAATTTTGCAGTTCATAAATCAATCATAAAGTAGACTTAAAATTAATGTATTAATATATATATTCAAAATATATCCCATACGTGACTGTAGTATATTTATTTTCCAATGTCGTACATCATTTTGATAATCCTTAAACAGATGTTGAAATTTGAATTTCAGTACTTTTTAGTACACATTTCCCATATTGAAAATAACTGATTAATTTATTTATTCAATATTTATTAAATAAAGTATAAAGTACACTTAATGCAAATATATTGTTGATCTTCCGTGTTCAGATAACACTGTGCCTGAAATTTCGAGAAACTTCTAATAGTGCACTACCCAGTGTCACAGATTTTCAAATGACTTCCGTAGAAATACAATGGATGCGTACAGACCCGTTAATTCTGGTCGTCGGCTGGCAATTTGTACTTGCGGATTGGTAGCTAAGCTTGGCCCGATGTTATCATCCCAGGCTTCAACGTCTTGTGCTAGGTCAGGGTTAATAGAACGACTGCTGTGCTTGCATTGCCGTCCCCTTCCGCGGGTATATAACTCAGAACGCGCAATAAAATCCATTCCGCAACACTTGAAATTTTTTAATGAACACTAACCAGAGCAAAAAAAGAACATGACCGGAAAATTGTGAGAATGCACTGGGACGTTGTCCAAAGTACGATCCAACCAAAAGTACAACCAAAGAACGTAGACTAGAGAAAACGAATTGCTCACGTCCGGTCATCACGAAAAAGTTCGCAGGTGCAACTCATTGCATGTAGAGAGAAATAACCAAAAGAAATTACGGAACGATACCGCAAGCGAGAATGATTTTGGGCGAATTTCTATAGAAATATAAGAGAAAAATCTGAAACGTTCAGTTCTGTCTTTCACTTTCCGTCCTGTCACTAGAAGAGAACGAAAAATTTCTGTAATCATTATGTTCAAGAATTTTTCCGTAATATTTTATATGTTTTACGTGGTCTCTCGTGTATTTTTTTCCAACGAATAACACTTCCATCAGAGCCATTAACGGTCATGAATTAGAAGAAAATTAAATTAATTGTCTTTAATTTTGCCAACGTTTCGAACATTATGTGTGCTGCTCATCAGGGCAATATTTATTTCTGTTAAAAAATAAAAATACAGAAACTAATTAGTCATAAAGAAAGCTATTGCAAATTCTTAATCTAAAAACCAAGATTTTTAATCAACAGAAATCAATGAGACGTCAGAAAAATACCAGGGAATTCTACCCTTAAAGAAGAACATAAGAAATTAGTCATTTTCATGTATTCATACATCTAATTCTAGTTAGAATTATTCATAACATAAAAAACCAACAATTGCATTTGATTAGAATTAAGGGGAAACAATTATGGATATCCTGAAAATTAATGTTTATTTTAAAGTTATCTAATCATAAATCATTAAGTACCAATTAAAGACAATTAATTTGATTTTCCGCTAATTTGTGACCGTTAGTAGCCCTGAGGAATGTGTTATTCATTGTTAAACAAGAAAAGGTTGAAAATGGTCTTTATTAGGTAATTTTTACTGGATTTTTCGAGCAAGTATACGTAGGAGAAATAATGTAAATGTTTTAATGTGTAAATATTAAAAAACATATCATGTACAAGTATAAGATTATGAACAAATACATGAAATATACAATGACAATTTAAAGGACTTATACCAAGGCTTGAACATTTCAGTAAATAGACATAAAAAACTAGAGGAAAAATGTACGCGAAAATTCGCGTCGAGGTAAAGTAAACTCGATTTAACTCAGCGATCCCGCACAAAATGTAAGTGCCAGTACCGGATATTTCTCTGCCAAATGCATCCATTTGATGCGTCACATTAAAAAAAAAAAAACTTTTCTCACGCTAGACAAAGTTTCTCCCGTTGGCATTTGATTTTTTTCACAGCGAATCCTTCCGTATTTTTGTTTTCACGTGTGATATTGAATAGCTGTAGGACATATTTTCAATTCCATTCATTTTTCAATAGTGCCTGACAAAAACTTTTAGCCATAGAAAATCATCCGACATTGTAGCTCCAAGAACTCGTTTTGTCCCATCTCTGCCAATGCATACGTGCAGTTTATCTGAAGTGAAAAATATTCATGACGAAAATTGAATTTTCATGAGGCAATGCGATCGCAGACTGTCTGAACTGAATGATTTTGCTCGCCGGTTATGTAAATAGGTGATAGAGTACTTTGAGTAATCTTTTAAACATTCCCATGATATTGGCTGTCAAATTTTTCTCCAGTTTTTATTTTTACAATCCAATTTTCAGTTGTACAAGATTGATTATATATTGATTGATTTTGTCACTGATTGATTATTGGTACAAGCGGAGATCGACTGATCTCTGACTTTTTTCGCATGCTCTCATCGATTCATCGATTCATCAATATAATTGATTCATTTATTTATAAATATCTAATGTGGAATATTTTATACTCAAGGTTTAATACACAATATTATATAGAAAATTGTATAATTATGATATTATGTATTTATGTTGATGTAAGCACATTAATCGATAGATTTTTTTTAATTTGTCGATTTTGTTATCACATGCGGAGATCAATTGACGATAAAATTGACGATATAAAATTGCCTCTGTTGGATCGATTCATTTGGCCTTTGAGGACAAATTGATTGTTGCGTGAAAATCAGCTAATTGAAGTTGAATAATGTTGGAATCTTTGAGATCCTCCATTGTTGTACAAAAACTACTCGACAAAGACTTCTGACATACTGGAAAAATAGTCACAGACAAGGGAGCAGTTTACAATTGTTTAATTTTTCATTTTCTAGAATGATTTAATCCTGAACATCTGTTGAAATTTGAAAAAGGACTGTATTCTTTAGTGTCATAAACATTAATTTTTATTCTTGTTTTTCATTCAGAAT